AAATTTTAATTAATATTTCAAAATATATTTTTTCATCATATTAATATGAAAAGAACTGCAATTTATAAGCAGTACTTTTCTTATAGTTTTATAATATCAAAATTTGATTTTAAATTATTTAGTTGATCTAATCTAATTTAGCTGTAAAGTTAAAGTCAATTGACTCTCACAAAAATGAAAAAATGACACATGAGTTGAAACGGAAGATTTTTTTTTTCACCTACGCAATACAATAGGAAAACCTTCAAATCTATGCATGAAAACCAAAATAATTATTCATGAAACATTTCATTGTCTTGTACATATGAAGCCCATATCATCAATTTCTTATATATTAGTCTTTATGTATAAAAATAATAATCTCTTATAAAAAGATTATAAAGCTTAAAAAATGTAAATAATCAACAAAATCAATTTTCACGTATATTATATACATATTTTGTATAAGTATAAACTATTTATATACTTTATATATTTTATAAACTAGTTAGTCGAAGTTTTTAGAATTGTAATTATTCTATAAGTATTTAATTAGAGAGTATCATCCATAGGAAGATCACTATGAGATTTGCAGAATAAAATCCTCTCTTCAAATTTCTTAACTACAAAATGAAATCCTTGTAGATATGTTGTGGGTTGGCATATATTGATATTTACAGATGGATAAGTTTATAATATTCATCCTTATCATTGCAAAAATATTATATTATTATAGCCAAAAAAATAAAATAAGATGAAACAGTAGTTCCACTTAGGAGTGTATATATATGCATTTGGAATAATTTTTTTAAAATAAAATAAAAATTCAATCAAATTATGTTCAACCACTTATTACAAGTACAAATAAGGTAGTTAGATAGGTTTATAAGCTGGTCAAATTAATTTATATGTATAGTTTGATTTATTTATATATATGGTAAATATTCGAAGTTATAAAATCAAACAAAAAGTATAAATTAATCATTCTCAATTTATAATTTTTTAGCTAATAAATTTAACTTGACCAATATTTTTATTATTTTATCCTTCATATTTTTTTTCTAATTCTCGAATGCCTTATAAATATACTTTTAAGTTAATTATTTTTTTGAAAATAAATTAAGTGTATGTTAGTCATTTTATCCAAAGAACAATTTATCAATATATTTTTTACCAAACACATCATGTGTTTATTATAAATTTTAACTTTTTTATCCAATTAAATAACTACACACCTAAAAATATTTATCAACATATAATACTTATCGATCTATTTACGATCAGCTGACCCAAGTTGACTCAAAATATTGTTTTTGTCCCTTTCCTATTTCAAGTCTTGGGCATAGCTTCAAGGGTAATTTCTTTGATTCACACTCCTATGGTGTCATTGCTTTTAAGCAAACAAAATCACCTTTTTTTTCTTTTTCTGTTTCAAATATCCTTCTACTTTGCTTGAGAATACTAAACAAATTAAAGGCTTAGCTACACTTACTTCAAAATAAATATGATTTTTGTTTTAAAAAAAGTATTTTATTTATTTTATCTGGACCATTGAATCAGAGCGAAACTAGAATTCTATTGTTACAAGTTCGATAGAACCAATAATTTTAATCAAAATTCTATATTTATAGTTAATTCCGAACCTAGTAAGCTTAAAATTCTAAAACTCAGAACACATAATTTCAAAATTCTAAATTCGCTTTTTCATTCAATTATTTTGTTTTAGGTTGGATACTAAGGGAGAGAAGAGAACACAAGGAAAAAGTACAATATTTTTTAAACCACAAGTTTTAAATTTTATTATTATTATTTAAATTCTATATTCAGTCAAATATCATAATATAATATAAATTGAAGTGGATGGATATATTGATTTCTTCTCCCCCAATAATTTTTCATTTTGTCCCCTTTGAATTTTTTCCTTCATTTCTTACCTTTTTATGCAAGAATAGGCTTTATATATTGTCTTTCAATTTAGGTAAGAAAGTGAAACTACACCCATAGTATAGGCCAAAAAAAGGAAATATGTCACTTCATGTTATGGTAAAATATCTAACTTTTGAAACACTAGTTTTCTTTGCAAGTGAAGTGAAATTGAGTACATTAAGTGAACTTGGCAAACACTTTGTTCTCATTGAAGAAACTACTTGAACAAGAAACTTTAGTTAATCTTGGGTTGTCTAAGAATTTATGAACTTGGATTATTACTTATAAGTTACTTATATATAGTATTATAGTTTAAACTATTTTAGTATGTTAAAAGTAAGGCTTAATACATAGTCAATTTCTTAAAGTGTCAATAAATTTTATTTTGATACTCGAAATATGGGTTGTTCGAATTAAATATCAGATCACATGGTAAAGTGTATTTTTACCAAGACACTTTTGTTTCAAATTTTGAAAAGATGTTTGTTTGCACATGTTTTCAAGTGGCCATATTAGCTAGTTGTTAATTAATGAAGTTATATCTATTGATTTTAGTTAGATGAACTATTAAAGGTCACTCAATTATTATTAGAAATCGAGGTAAAAAAAATTGTGCTATAAAATATAATTTTTGCACTCATTTCTCATCAAATTAGCTCATTAGGAAAACACATGTTGAGAAACAAATTTTCGCTAAGAAAATTTCCTGTGAAACACCATTATTTGTTCTTTCCTCATCAGTTCAATTGATATATCTGTGAAAATAATCGGTGAATATTTTCGATCTATCAATTACAATCAGATAGTCTTATTATTCCGTTAAGGTCTCAAAAGTTTGGGTGCTTAGAATAAAGACTTTATTAGCACCCTTTTAATTAGATATTGAAAGACAATTATTATTATTATTATTTTTGTTTATAATAAAATATAACAATATGAATTTATTGATTCTAATTAATTCCAAGTAGTTGGTGATAAATCTAATTTTTATTAATGTAAATCTCTACAAATCCTGTTAGTGTTGGCAATTACTAAAATGGATTGGATTCGTGTGTGAACGTGCATGACATGATTGAGGTCTTTTTTTAAGTCAATTTAAGTACCATAGTCTATAATAATTTTAATAGAGACGAATACAAAATATTAATACCAGATTCATCTAAATCGTAAAATATAAATTTATAAATGAAAATTACAATAAATAACAAATATAAACTAATAACTTGATTATTATTATTTTACGATTATGTTAAAAATCATAAATATTTATTCGATAATATAAATTTAAATTTTGAATCCGCCCTGCGACTAATTATAATCATAGTGCATAGGTGATTAGTGAAGGGTGGATAAATATTGAGAACAAGCCAAATCTCTATGCCTGTTAAACAGCAAACCATAAACATTATTAGAAAGGGAAAAATAAATTGGATTATGGAAAGATTTTATTAGCCTGTCATGTGTTAGTATAATTATTAATTATGATTGAAAAAAAGAAGAAGATGATGACAAATTTTAAATTAAAAGATTACATTATAAGTGTCTGATCGGATTGGTTAAGTTTGAAACCTACAACTATGTATGTTTCATCGTCTAGTAAGTGAGATAAAGATAATAATTTGGGAAAATTATATGAAATAACAAACTATTAATTCAAATTAAATGTTATAGTCATAGTTTATTTTAATTGTAATTCGCAGCAAACATCCCTTTTTTTGCCATCTGATTCAATATACAATTAGCTATTTTATACATTTCGGTATAAAATGCATGTGTGTTTGTATAAACCGAGAGAAAAGTGTATATACAAATACATATATTTTCATCATATATACTTATAATTATACAAATACAAATCTTATTATACAAATTACAATGTCTAAATGAATTTATACAAAACTAAACAATTTGTATAAAATTGGATGTTTGTAACGAATTATACAAATCAAAAACTACATAGCAAACATAAAATTTGTTATGGAGCGCAATTATGCAAACTATAGCTATACATACAAATATGATTTTTATGTTTGCTATATGTGAAAGTATTAATAATTTTCACTTTAACACAATACACCAAAAATGATCTTTAGCAATAATTAATTAACGATAATAACTTAATTGCCATTAAATATATTTTTTTAAGTGATAATTAACATTCTTCTGTAAATGTCTCTAAAGCCTATAACCACATTGAATTCACTGATAAATAACTAATGTCAATGGAAACTTTAACACTCTTTATTACTCCTTCCATTCCATATTAATTGAATTTTTGAGGCATTTTCCATTTTTCAAATTAACTTAATTGTTCATTTTTCAAGACTACTTTTAGAGTGTTTCTTCCTAATTTTATCATTCATTTGGATTTTCAATGTGATGACTTCAATAAATTTGACAATAATTAATAAGGGTAAAAATGGAAAACTATGTTCAATTTATGTCTTAATCTACTTTTTTTAAAGGGTGTGAAACACCTCAAAAATTCAATTAATATGGAATGGAGGGAGTAATATACATATTTATTGCCGTTAAAAAAATTATTTTGTTCTGATGATCCACTACACCAAAAACGATCATTGGCAACAATTAATTAACGACAATAACTTAATAGCCATTAAATATGCCCTTTTAGTAACATTTAACATTCTTTATAAATGTTCCTAAGCTCTATAGCAACATTCGATCCAATAACAATTAACTAATACCAATAAAGACTTTACCATTTACATATTTATTACCACTAAAAATTATTCCGCGATTCATATGATAGTTAAGCCGTGGAGTTAGGAATCCATTAAGGCGCAATCCACGCTTTCACAAAAAGAAAAACTCGTTAGTCTCCTAACTCAAATTCAGTCCTAACATATTTTTCAACCACTAGTCAAAAATATACAACAAAAAGTACATTATATAATTTTAAAAAAAAAAAAAAAACTCCAAACAGAAAAAAATAAACAAAAAAAATAAATTCGTGCTGTCACGACAATATTAGACAAAGAAATGCACGTTGTGTGTGGATGACTCCTCATTGGTCGGTTGGTTCTCTGTATTATTCAAAAAAAAAACTTTGTAATATAATTCCAATAATACATTACATACATTTGTGTTATTATTACTAACTTTCTCTCTTCTTTCTTCTATTCTTTCATATCCAAAATCTCCAATATTCATAAGCTCAAAGCTTATTTATTTCAAATTTGATATCGAGTTAACAAATGAGAACGTTGTGTCCCAATTTGGATAACGAAGATGGTCTGGAAACGGTACTTGAAGTACCGATTCCAGAAGAAATGTTTGTTAATTCATCACATAAGAATCATGTTAAGTCATGGCAAAATATGAAATCTTGGATTAAATCTCATAGTGGTAATCATCATCATCATCATCATGATAATTATTATTATAAATCAAGTGCTGTTTCAGTAATTGGTGGAAGAAATGCTGAGATTCAACTATTGCTTGGTGTTGTTGCTGCTCCATTGATTCCTCATCCTATTAAATGCAACAATCATTCTCTTAATAAGAAGATTAATGATCATCCTATTGTAAGTTCTTTTTACAATTCTCTCAACTTTCTTTGATACTGTATCTCTGTCTCAATTTATGTGACACTGGTCGGATTTTGAGAGTCAAATGATCAAAGAAAGACTTGTTTGAGTCTCGAAATACCAGAGGTGCCACGTATATTACTCAATAATCAAGAATATGTGTTAGTGTGATAGAGTTGATTTCTCATATGGTCACTCAATTAATAGTTATTATGTCAGAAAAGTCAGTTTCTTTGTTGAATAAAATTGAAAAAGATCAAGAAATTGTGACTTTCTGAGAAATAATAACTATTGGTTGAGGAACCATCCGAAAGATAAACAATATATCTACGAAACATTTTTTTTGTGTGTGTGTTCTAGGAAACTCCCTTTGTTTCAGTTCATGTGAGTTTAACTCGATAGATAATTTAAGTAAAAAAAGTGAAATTTTTGAGATGCTTGTGAACTCAAACATATCATAACATTTATAAGGATATATAGGTTTTACAGTAATCAAAGTTAAAAAAGGTGAAGTGTAAAGTTAATTATTTTTAAATATAAAAAGGATTAATAAGAAAATAGTTCACATACACTGAAACAGAAGAAAGATAAATAAGAAAATAGTGTTACATAAATTGAAACAGAAGAAACAGTAATATATTTTTGTGTGCCTTTAGATACAAGTTCTTGACTAGACAAGTAGATGAAACTTTGTTTTTAGTTATTTGTGTTTGGTGAGATTGCATATACTTGAACTAGTTTATTAGGTACTATTTGTGACCTCTTATCAACTCTAGGCTATTGTACTTAAACAAATGGAAATAAATTTACAATGAAATTTATGTATGGATTTGCTTATTGAGACAATGAAACCTAATTCGATCTTTATAGAGTTCTCGAGATACTTTATTTGTTCACTTAATCAATGGTTGATACATTTATACAGGAGGCTTCGATGGCAAAATATATAGTACAACAATATATAGCTGCCGCGGGAGGAGAACATGCTTTGAATTCAATCAATAGTATGTACGCGATGGGGAAGGTGAAGATGATGGCGTCTGAATTTATTGAAGGAGATGGTCTAGGATTGAACAATGGCAAAGTAATGAAGATCAAAACTGCGAAAAATGGGACAGGGGAAATGGGAGGATTTGTGTTGTGGCAAAAAAGACCTGATCTTTGGAGCATTGAGCTTGTAGTTTCAGGATGTAAAATCAGTGCTGGAAGTGATGGTAAGGTGTCTTGGAGACAAACTCCATGGCATCATTCTCACGCGTCTCGTGGCCCTGCTAGGCCTCTTCGTCGTTCCTTACAGGTACTTTTTTTCAATCTAGACAATAAGAATTGAACTCACACGTATCACAAACATATGGTCATGTCACACCTAATGTGGACCTAGGATGTCATTTTATCTTATCAATAAAATTGATTAGATAAGTGGTCCAATTGACAATTTGGTGAATATACACACATAGCCTTTGAAAGAAGTTGTTGCAAGAAGTCAACATTAATGTTATTTGGAGTCCTTCCTTTATTTTTATTTTTGTCAAAGTCTTACTTATCAAGAGGTCAGGTTGTGTGTCACATGACTCGAATAAACTTAAAATCTCATTCACAACTTGACCCTTTCAAGCAGAATTAGAGTCGGGATTTGAACCTTATGAGTTCTGGATTTTAGGACACAACCTCGAGTACTAGTAGTTAGGTTCAATTGACAATTTTGTGAATGTACACACTTCTTAGTCTTGTCACTTGTGTGTCACATGGCTCGAATAAACTCGAAATCTCATTCACAACTTGACCCCTTCAAGTTGTTCTATAGGGCAAGTTGATGCGAAAACTAACACGGATCCCAAAAAAAAAAAGTCAGCACCAGTAAAAATGACATTTACTCAACTATGAGCCACTAAATTGGAAAAACAAAGTAGTTGTTGAATGAATAATATGGTTCTCTATTTATGTGGATACTAGTTGTGAATTGGCCTAAACTGACACTTTCATTTACTTAATTATGTCATCAACATGTCACGTGTCTGTATCTGCTCTGATACCATGTTTTCAACAACGTCTGATTATGTTGATTGATCATGTTGACAGGGTCTTGATCCAAGGTCTACTGCTGATATGTTCTCCGATTCGATCTGCATAGGCGAAAAGCCAGTGCATGGTGAAGATTGCTTTGTACTAAAATTTGAAGCAGATCCCTCATCTCTAAAAGCAAGAAGTAGTAGCAATGTTGAAATTATGAGACATACTGTTTGGGGCTATTTTAGCCAAAGAACAGGACTATTAGTCCAACTTGAAGATTCACATCTTCTAAGACTAAAATCTCCAAAAGATGATGTCTTTTGGGAAACAACAATGGAGTCATTAATCCAAGAATATCGAACAATCGATGGTGTTAACATAGCACATGCTGGCAAGACATGTGTTTCCTTATTCAGATTCGGCGAAAACTCAGAAGGACATACAAGGACTAGGATGGAAGAAGTTTGGACAATTGAAGAAGTTGATTTTAACATAAAGGGACTATCTTTGGATTGTTTTTTACCACCTAGTGACTTGAAAAAAGATGATGATCAAGAAATTATTAGTGATGATGATGATATAAACAAGAATTCAAGGCTTGAATCCAAGAATATTATTCATCATGTTAATAATCCTAGATTTATAACTGCTATAAAAGGTGCAGCCAAAATTGTTGCTATTGATCAAGATTCAGAGGACTAGTATTGAGGCAGGGGAAGACTTGTAAATATGTCTATGTTGCTCTGACTCTTCAAAAATGTTCGACGTGTCATGTGTGCGTGTCTGATCCTCTAAAAGTACATTTTTGGAGAGTCTGATTAACATATAAGTAGATAAGTATTAATATTCTGTGATCATTTTTGTACATAGAGAATCATAGGATATGGTTTTTTTTTGTGTAAAGTGTTTTCATATATACATACACATCTAAGTAACTTTGGTTTGATAGTGAATTTACTAGGGTTGTATAATTGTATAATATACTTTGATAATATAAAGAATTTTTATGCTATCAATGTTATTTTACTTGATCGAGTAGGTTTTTCTTAATTAATTTCACTTATTATAGATCATTACATGTTATTATTACTCTTATGAAATCTTATGTGGACTATGGGTATATAAAAGCTGAACTGTATAGATCTACGACGTTGGTTACGAATTACAATTCATGTGAACCTAAGTAACTTTTGTTTAGACTCTACATATAAATAGAAATTCACTAAATATTCACATATATTTAACTGTGAATTCAATTATTATTATAATATTAACTTGAATCCGTTTATGATTATTTATATCTTGTAAAATGACTTTCATATCCCCTACACTTGTTTAAGTGGAAGGGTCTTCGATATTTCAAAGAGAAGTATTTAGTACGCTTTGGAGGATGTGATTTGTAGTTTAGATTCTTAATACGTTATAATGAAAAATGGTTATATTTGCTCCTTAATCATGTAAAATGAAATAGATTTGTCCTCCATTAATAGTTAGGTTAAATAAGCACTCATCTTTATAAGTCGGGATCAAATTTTCCCTTATTTTTAAATGATTTTAAACGAAGGGTAAAGTTTGAACTTTTCGCATAATTCATGGTCAATTTTAACTATTTCACATCGTTTAAAAGCAAATTTGATCATTCCCCCAATTTTTAGTTTTTCTTTTTTGGGTTTATCCTTTCTCTTTTTACCGCTATTGTTCAAGATTAGAACTATGTTAACAGATTGAAACAGCGAAATAATATTTAATAATATTATTTTAATGCATATGTATCTGCATAGAGATCTTTGTTAGAAAAAGTGATTTGGCGATAGAAATAATGGTGCAAACACAGAAAAGATATATTAAAAAAATCATAGCCACTTGGAGATTAATTTATTTTTATTAATAGTATCAAAGTTCGATTTCACTACCTACCTGCCTACCCCCTTTCCAATGAAAAAAAACAGAGATAATATTTCTTAACTCTATCAACTTGACAAATACTTTCATTTTAATTTATTTATTCTATTTTTCTTTATTTTATGTTACATGTTTAAGATTATAACATTAAAACATATTTTGATATATTCTATATATTTTTCTTTGAGAGAGAAGAATTGAAAACACGCCTTAAACTCAACATAAAATATTAGTTTTATCTCGAACTATTAACAACCTTTAAAATATTCATTTTTCTTTATTAACTGAACTTAAATACACCCTCAATTTTACAGCATAAGTGAAATACACTCCAAAATTCTCACAAAGTTAAGATGTGTCTTCAACACTTCTCTCGGCTTTTTATTAAGAGTTGCCATGCTTGTACAAGTGTTTGAAACCACTTGTTATGCCCAGTGGTGGAGCCAGAATTTTTAATAAGGGGGTTCAAAATCCGAAGGGGTAAAACATACGAACTAGTCGAAGGGGGTTCGACATTTATTATATACATCTAAAAAATAATTTTAACCATGTATATATAATAATATTTTTCGCCTATCAGGAGTGTATCTAAATTTAATTAATCAAATAAATGAGTGTCGTCAAAAGTGTCAATTATTTGGAAACGAAACTAATAATTAACTGCAAGAGTTTTTCAATACTTATCTTTGTATTTCATTACTTTTTTCCTATTTTGCTGAACTCTAGCTAGTCAACAAGTTCCAATTTTTTGTAAAACAAGATCACCATTATTGAAACTCTTAACATTAGCCTACCATGGATGAACAAGAATCACTTCCTCCTCATGTACTCATTTTCCCTTTACCATTACAAGGCCCTGTAAACTCAATGTTCAAACTTGCTGAACTCCTCTGTTTTTCAGGCTTACATATCACCATCCTTCTCACTGAAAACATTCACAATCGTCTCGTTCTTCACACTGATATAACTTCAAGATTTGATCAATGTCCTGGTTTTCAAATCAAGACGATATCGGATGGATTACCAGATGATCACCCTCGAGATGGAGGAAAGTTTATAGAGGTTTTTGACTCTTTGAGGACTAAAACAAAGACTCTGTTTAAAGATATGTTGACTTCTGATATGCTCTGTTTTGATCTTGATGGGAAAGAAAGACGACGAGTTAGTTGTATTATAGCTGATGGAGTTTGGGGATTTACTTGTGATGTTGCTGATGAGATTAGTGTACCTATTTTTTGTGTTCGGACTATTAGTCCGTGTTGTCTTTGGATCTTCTTTTGCCTTCCTAAACTCATTGAATCCGGAGAATATCCTTTCGAAGGTTAGTATATGATTGTTTGAACTTATTGAGCTTGAATAATGTAAATTTGTTATGAGTATAGTTAGTGTTGGGGTTGGGTTGGTTGATCGTCTTGAAAACGATTATTGTTATCTTATCCTGTCTGGTTTGTATCTAATCACGCTCTTGTTTGTGACTTTAAGTACTTTAGGGATGATGTTTGTAGTCGTATTAGTGCTTTGATGGGGAAATTTGTTAAGATTCGCTCATGATTCATGATATCATTGTTGTAGCTTAGGATTTGTGTAATTGCTAGAATTTTATGTCCGTTTATGTAAAGTTATTGATATTGAACTCATTTAGTATTGAGATTTTAGATTCAAAATTTAGTATTTGTTGAAATTTTAGTGATTTTTTTGAATGGATGGCCTTTTTGTTACTATGGCTCTTGGTCTCTTTTCGCCTTCTCTCACCGTTAATAGGTATGGTTGGTAACGAAGAAGGCCTAACTCGGTTGAAGTGTAATGATCTGTATGTTAAGATCCACTCATGATTCATGATATCATTCTTTTGCGTGTTGTAGCTTAGGATTTGTGTAATTGCCAGAATTTTATGCTCGTTTATGTAAAGTTATTGATACTGAACTCATTTAGTATTGAGATTTTAGATTCAAAATTTAGTATTTGTTGAAATTTTAGTGATTTTTTGAATGGATGGCCTTTTTGTTACTATGGCTCTTGGTCTCTTTTCGCCTTCTCACACCGTTAATAGGTATGGTTGGTAACGAAGAAGGCCTAACTCGATTGAAGTGTAATGATCTGTATGTTAAGATCCACTCATGATTTATGACAAATTTGTTTGTAGTCGTATTAGTGTTTTGATGGGAAATTTGTTAAGATCCACTTATAATTCATGTTATCATTCTTTTGCTTGTTGTAGCTTAGGATTTGTGTTATTGCTAGAACTTTATGTCCGTCTATGTAATGTTATTTGATATTGAACTTATTTACTATTGAAATTTAGTATTTGTTGAAATTTTAGTGATTTCTTAAATGGAATGGCAAATTTGTTACTATGGCTCTTGGTCTCTTTTCGCCTTCTCACACCGTTAATAGGTATGGTTGGTAACGAAGAAGGCCTAACTCGATTGAAGTGTAATGATCTGTATGTTAAGATCCACTCATGATTTATGACAAATTTGTTTGTAGTCGTATTAGTGTTTTGATGGGAAATTTGTTAAGATCCACTTATAATTCATGTTATCATTCTTTTGCTTGTTGTAGCTTAGGATTTGTGTTATTGCTAGAACTTTATGTCCGTCTATGTAATGTTATATTTGATATTGAACTTATTTACTATTGAAATTTAGTATTTGTTGAAATTTTAGTGATTTCTTAAATGGATAGTCTTTTTGTTACTATGGCTCTTGGTCTGTTTACGCCTTCTCACACCGTTATCAGGTATGGTTGGCAATGAAGAAGGCCTAACTCGGTTGAAGCGTAACGATCTATTATGCCACGTAATAGATTTCATTCTTCTACTCTTTTTCGAAAGTTGATTGGCATAAATATATTTGCATTATCAGTTGAGTACATGTTATGTTAATCTTGAAATTTATTCTACTTTTGAGATTTTAAGCTAGAATTACTAGACGCTAGTGCATATAGCATTCCACGTTCACACATGATTTGAAGAAAGGTCACACCCCAATGTGACGTAACATAGTTAGCAACATTTCGCCTATCCTAATTCAAGTATCAATAACTGATTCCACGGCTCGACTCTGTGACCTATAGATCATAACTTATGATTTCTCCAAGTTTACACAATCTTCTAATTCTTCAATTTCAATATCTACAGATGATAACTTGGATGAACCACTTAAAAGTGTTCCGGGAACTGAAACATTTCTCCGGCGACGTGATCTACCGAGCTTTTGCCGCTCCGGCGACTTAACAGATTCATATATCCAGCTCCTCAAAACAGAGGGTCAAGAAAATTCACGAGCTCATGGCTTAATACTCAACACATTCGAAGAATTAGATGAACCCATACTCAATCAATTGCGAACAATTTGCCCAAATCTCTATCCAATTGGACCGCTCCACGCGCATTTAAAGAAGAAACAAACTACATTGCGACCATCATCAAACAGTTTGTGGGCAGAAGACAGAACTTGCATCGATTGGCTAAACGATCAGCTACCCAATTCAGTAATTTACGTTAGTTTTGGGAGTATCGCGACAATGACGAATGATCAATTGATCGAATTTTGGTACGGATTGGTTAACAGTGGGCAGAAATTTTTGTGGGTAATCCGACCGGATTCCATCGCCGGAGAAGAATGGAGATCAAAGATTCCGGTGGATTTAGCGACGGGGACGAAAGAAAGGGGATATATAGTGGAGTGGGCTCCACAAGAAGAAGTATTGGCCCATCCCGCGGTAGGTGGGTTTTGGACTCATTGTGGATGGAATTCGATTCTCGAGAGTGTTTATGAGGGGAAGCCCATGATTTGTTGGCCTTATTTTTTTGACCAACAAGTGAATAGTAGATTTGTTGAAAAAGTTTGGGGAATTGGGCTTGACATGAAGGATACATGTGATAGAGAAATTGTTGAGAAAATGGTGAAGGATTTGATGGTATTGAGAAAAGAAGAGTTTTTGGGAAGAGCAAATCATATGTCTAAATTAGCTAAGAATTGTTTGATGGAAGGTGGATCATCTTACTCTAATTTCGATCGTCTCGTGAAGGATATTAAATCTTTAAGTGATAAGGTTTAAGCGTCGTTGAAATGACAGTTCGTTTCTTTTTCAAGGAGATAAAAGTTGTGCAACCCTTTAAGACATATAGAAGTTTCAATCGTTGTTAGAATCACAAGGAGATTTATTATGTTATGTACCTGACTTTCTCATCGAGTGTTGTTTTAGATCTTCTTATTCAAGAAGACACTTTAATCTTGCTTTTGAAATTGTACCTTTTGTTTTTATTTCCGTTGGGTTATACAAACATAGTGTGTGTTCTAGAAACAACAAATAAAATGATACTTGTATTATATTATCTATATTTATTGAAAGTCATCTAAATATTGAGAAATGAATTAAAAATGATTAGTTAATAATAAAGGTAAGCTAGGTATAAAATAGTGATTTAACTCTTAGATTTATAAAATTAGACAAATAAATATGGATATTTATTTTGTTTAGTGGATGGAGGAATTAATCCATATGCTTGTATGCAGAGGAGGAGTGACTACTTTAAGTGTTCATAACTGATTCTAAACTTAATATTTATATATAATTAATTAACACAAAAAATACTGACTACTATATGAGCTTCTAATTCTGCCCCTAATTGATGGTTTACTATATAATGTAGGTGTTGGCCGCTGACTGCTAAATAAAAGTGCAAGACTATAGAATATGGTAATTGCTAGTAATATACAAATTATTTTATTTATACTATAGAAGACAGAAAAATGTGACAAATAGTAAATCATAGAAGTTTGAAAACAAACAAGTCGTTGTAGTATAGTGGTAAGTATTCCCGCCTGTCACGCGGGTGACCCGGGTTCGATCCCCGGCAACGGCGTAATTATAATTTTTAAAGATATGTCATTTTTTTTGGAAGGGACTAGAATAAATATGAATTTTTAAAATAATAACTATAGTTAAATCACTTTTCAATTTTGGATCGGACTAGAATAAATATGACTTTTTAAAATAATAACTATAGTTAAATCACTTTTCAATTTTGGATCGGACTAGAATAAATATGACTTTTTAAAATAATAACTATAGTTAAATCACTTTTCAATTTTGGATCGGACTAGAATAAATATGACTTTTTAAAATAATAACTATAGTTAAATCACTTTTCAATTTTGGATCGGACTAGAATAAATATGACTTTTTAAAATAATAACTATAGTTAAATCACTTTTCAATTTTGGAACAGACTAGAATAAATATGACTTTTTAAAATAATAGCTATAGTTAAATCACTTTTCAATTTTGGATCGGACTAGAATAAATATGACTTTTTAAAATAATAACTATAGTTAAATCACTTTTCAATTTTGGATCGGACTAGAATAAATATGACTTTTTAAAATAATAACTATAGTTAAATCACTTTTCAATTTTGGATCGGACTAGAATAAATATGACTTTTTAAAATAATAACTATAGTTAAATCACTTTTCAATTTTGGATCGGACTAGAATAAATATGACTTTTTAAAATAATAACTATAGTTAAATCACTTTTCAATTTTGGATCGGACTAGAATAAATATGACTTTTTAAAATAATAGCTATAGTTAAATCACTTTTCAAACATTTTTGTTCGTGCTAGGGCTTTCAGATTGAATGTCACAATTCTTATTTATATTTTACTTTTTATAAGTACCGTTGGGAAATCTGTATGGTATGCTTGTATACCAATAAGTTATTATGAAGAACCTGAGATCTTTGGCCAAATTTTTTTAGATGCAACGACGTAACTATTATATGCCTACGATACGTGAATATGATGGAATACGATTGTAATGACTTTTCGTTGGTATGCAGTTGGATATCATCTCAAAAATCAAACTTCTTAGAATTATTTACAAAATAATAACCATTATATTCTCCACACATATATATTCCCATATAGAGAAGGGATATTAATTAATTACAACAAGGTGTCTACTAATAAAGTGTTAAAATTAGTGGGACAAACCCATTTACAAAATTGGCTTAAGGTCCTGCCAATTACCATAAAGACAAACCAACAAAATAAAACAAAAAAAAGTTAACTAATTAAGTGTTGAAATGGGCCTTGACTAAAAAGATAATCGGTGCATGCACTAAACTTCTGCTATGCGCTGAGTTCGAAAAAAGGTTGAACCACTTTGCATAGGGAAAAAAGCAAGGCCTCAATAGTATAATGATCCTGTGGGACAAAAAAATAAATATATAGTTGAGTTTTTTTATGACATTGCTAAAAGAAATAATTAATCATAGAAATAATTATTCTTTTCTACAAAATTTAATTTCCATACCTTGCCACCAATTTCCTCTTGAAGCACAATTTGAATTGTTTCCATTTTGATCATCATCTTCTTCTACATTTTTCTTGAACTGATCAAGTCATGAACATAAAAGAAACTATTTAGAAATTGAAAAACAAACAACTACTACACGACAGATTCAAAATTTTCACTGAAGAAGTTCGAAAAAAAAAACATAGTGCTACTACATTAAAAATAATCTTTAGCGGTAATTAATTAACAGTTGCGTTAAATATGTATTTTTAGCCAAAGAACAGGACTATTAGTCCAACTTGAAGATTCACATCTTCTAAGACTAAAATCTCCAAAAGATGATGTCTTTTGGGAAACAACAATCGAGTACTAGTAGTTAGGTTCAATTGACAATTTTGTGAATGTACACACTTCTTAGTCTTGTCACTTGTGTGTCACATGGCTCGAATAAACTCGAAATCTCATTCACAACTTGACCCCTTCAAGTTGTTCTATAGGGCAAGTTGATGCGAAAACTAGCACGGATCCCAAAAAAAAAGTCAGCACCAGTGAAAATGACATATTTACTCAACTATGAGCCACTAAATTGGGAAAACAAAATAGATGTTGAATGAATAGTATGGTTCTCTGTTTATGTGGATACTAGTTGTGAATTGGCCTAAAATGACACTTTTATTTACTTAATTATGTCATCAACATGTCATGTGTCTGTATCTGCTCTGATACCATGTGTTCAACAACGTCTGATTATGTCGATTGATCATGTTGACAGGGTCTTGATCCAAGGTCTACTGCTGATATGTTCTCCGATTCGATCTGCATAGGTGAAAAGCCAGTGCATGGTGAAGATTGCTTTGTACTAAAATTTGAAGCAGAGCCCTCATCTCTAAAAGCAAGAAGTAGTAGCAATGTTGAAATTATGAGACATACTGTTTGGGGCTATTTTAGCCAAAGAACAGGACTATTAGTCCAACTTGAAGATTCACATCTTCTAAGACTAAAATCTCCAAAAGATGATGTCTTTTGGGAAACAACAATGGAGTCATTAATCCAAGAATATCGAACAATCGATGGTGTTAACATAGCACATGCTGGCAAGACATGTGTTTCCTTATTCAGATTCGGCGAAAACTCAGAAGGACATACAAGGACTAGGATGGAAGAAGTTTGGACAATTGAAGAAGTTGATTTTAACATAAAGGGACTATCTTTGGATTGTTTTTTACCACCAAGTGACATGAAAAAAGATGATGATCAAGAAATTATTAGTGATGATGATGATATAAACAAGAATTCAAGGCTTGAATCCAAGAATATTACTCATCATGTTAATAATCCTAGATTTATAACTGCTATAAAAGGTGCAGCCAAAATTGTTGCTATTGATCAAGATTCAGAGGACTAGTATTGAGGCAGGGGAAGACTTGTAAATATGTCTATGTTGCTCTGACTCTTCAAAAATGTTCGACGTGTCATGTGTGCGTGTCTGATCCTCTAAAAGTACATTTTTGGAGAGTCTGATTAACATATAAGTAGATAAGTAATAATATTCTGTGATCATTTTTGTACATAGAGAATCATAGGATATGGTTTTTTTTTTGTTTGTGTAAAGTGTTTTCATATATACATACACATCTAAGTAACTTTGGTTTGATAGTGAATTTACTAGGGTTGTATAATTGTATAATATACTTTGATAATATAAAGAATTTTTATGCTATCAATGTTATTTTACTTGATCGAGTAGGTTTTTCTTAATTAATTTCACTTATTATAGATCATTACATGTTATTATTACTCTTATGAAATCTTATGTGGACTATGGGTATATAAAAGCTGAACTGTATAGATCTACGACGTTGGTTACGAATTACAATTCATGTGAACCTAAGTAACTTTTGTTTAGACTCTACATATAAATAGAAATTCACTAAATATTCACATATATTTAACTGTGAATTCAATTATTATTATAATATTAACTTGAATCCGTTTATGATTATTTATATCTTGTAAAATGACTTTCATATCCCCTACACTTGTTTAAGTGGAAGGGTCTTCGATATTTCAAAGAGAAGTATTTAGTACGCTTTGGAGGATGTGATTTGTAGTTTAGATTCTTAATACGTTATAATGAAAAATGGTTATATTTGCTCCTTAATCATGTAAAATGAAATAGATTTGTCCTCCATTAATAGTTAGGTTAAATAAGCACTCATCTTTATAAGTCGGGATCAAATTTTCCCTTATTTTAAAATGATTTTAAACAAAGGGTAAAGTTTGAACTTTTCACATAATTCATGGTCAATTTTAACTATTTCACATCGTTTAAAAGCAAATTTGATCATTCCCCCCAATTTTTAGTTTTTCTTTTTTTGGGTTTATCCTTTCTCTTTTTACCGCTATTGTTCAAGATTGACTATGTTAACAGATTGAAACAGCGAAATAATATTATTTGAATGCATATGTATCTGCATAGAGATCTTTGTTAGAAAAAGTGATTTGGCGATAGAAATAATGGTGCAAACACAGAAAAGATATATTAAAAAAATCATAGCCACTTGGAGATTAATTTATTTTTATTAATAGTATCAAAGTTCGATTTCACTACCTACCTGCCTACCCCCTTTCCAATGAAAAAAAACAGAGATAATATTTCTTAACTCTATCAACTTGACAAATACTTTCATTTTAATTTATTTATTCTATTTTTCTTTATTTTATGTTACATGTTTAAGATTATAACATTAAAACATATTTTGATATATTCTATATATTTTTCTTTGAGAGAGAAGAATTGAAAACACGCCTTAAACTCAGCATAAATTATTAGTTTTATCTCGAACTATTAACAGCCTTAAAAATATTCATTTTTCTTGACTAACTGAACTTAAATACACCCCCAATTTTACAACATAAGTGAAATACACTCCAAAATTCTCACAAAGTTAAGACGTGTCTTCAACACTTCTCTCGGCTTTTTATTAAGAGTCGTCATGCTTCTACAAGTGTTTGAAACCACTTGTTATGTCGAGTGGCGGAGCCAGAATTTTCAATAAGGGGGTTCAAAATCCGAAGGGGTAAAACATATGAACTAGTCGAAGGGGGTTCGACATTTATTATATACATCTAAAAAATAATTTTAACCATGTATATATAATAATATTTTTCGCCTATCAGGAGTGTATCTAAATTTAATTAATCAAATAAATGAGTGTCGTCAAAAGTGTCAATTATTTGGAAACGAAACTAATAATTAACTGCAAGAGTTTTTCAATACTTATCTTTGTATTTCATTACTTTTTTCCTATTTTGCTGAACTCTAGCTAGTCAACAAGTTCCAATTTTTTGTAAAACAAGATCACCATTATTGAAACTCTTAACATTAGCCTACCATGGATGAACAAGAATCACTTCCTCCTCATGTACTCATTTTCCCTTTACCATTACAAGGCCCTGTAAACTCAATGTTCAAACTTGCTGAACTCCTCTGTTTTTCAGGCTTACATATCACCATCCTTCTCACTGAAAACATTCACAATCGTCTCGTTCTTCACACTGATATAACTTCAAGATTTGATCAATGTCCTGGTTTTCAAATCAAGACGATATCGGATGGATTACCAGATGATCACCCTCGAGATGGAGGAAAGTTTATGGAGGTTTTTGAGTCTTTGAGGACTAAAACAAAGACTCTGTTTAAAGATATGTTGACTTCTGATTTGCTCTGTTTTGATCTTGATGGGAAAGAAAGACGACGAGTTAGTTGTATTATAGCTGATGGAATTTTGGGATTTACTTGTGATGTTGCTGATGAGATTAGTGTACCTATTTTTTGTGTTCGAACTATTAGTCCGTGTTGTCTTTGGATCTTCTTTTGCCTTCCTAAACTCATTGAATCCGGAGAATATCCTTTCAAAGGTTAGTATATGATTGTTTGAACTTGAATAATGCAAATTTGTTAGTGTTGGGATTGGGTTGGTTGATCGTCTTGAAAACGATTATTGTTATCTTATGTGTCAGGTTTGTATGTAACCACGCTCTTGTTTGTTACTTTAAGTACTTTAGGGATGATGTTTGTAGTCGTATTAGTGCTTTGATGGGGAAATTTGTTAAGATTCGCTCATGATTCATGATATCATTGTTGTAGCTTAGGATTTGTGTAATTGCTAGAATTTTATGTTCGTTTATGTAAAGTTATTGATATTGAACTCATTTAGTATTGAGATTTTAGATTTAAAATTTAGTATTTGTTGAAATTTTAGTGATTTTTTTGAATGGATGGCAAATTTGTTACTATGGCTCTTGGTCTCTTTTCGCCTTCTCATACCGTTATTAGGTATGGTTGGTAACGAAGAAGGCCTAACTCGGTTGAAGTGTAATGATCTGTATGTTAAGATCCACTCATGATTCATGACAAATTTGTTTGCAGTCATATTATTGTTTTGATGGGAAATTTGTTAAGATCCACTTATAATTCAAGATATCATTCTTTTGAGTGTTGTAGCTTAAGATTTGTGTTATTGCTAGAATTTTATGTCCGTCTATGTAACGTTATTTGATAATGAACTTATTTACTATTGAAATTTTAGTGAGTTCTAGAATGGATAGCCTTTTTGTTACTAGGGCTCTTAGTCTCTTTTCACCTTCTCACACCGTTATCAGGTATGGTTGGTAACGAGGAAGGCCTAACTCGGTTGAAGTGTAATGATCTGTATGTTAAGATTCACTCATGATTCATGATATCATTCTTTTGCGTGTTGTAGCTTAGGATTTGTGTAATTGCTAGAATTTTATGTTTGTCTATGTAAAGTTATTGATATTGAACTCTTTAAGTATTGAGCTTTTAGATTCAAAATTTAGTATTTGATGAAATTTTAGTGATTTTTTTGACTGGATGGCCTTTTTGTTACTGTGGCTCTTGGTCTCTTTTCGCCTTCTCATACGTTTATTAGGTATGGTTGGTAATGAAGAAGGACTAACTCGATTGAAGTATAATGATCTGTATGTTAAGATCCATTCATGATTCATGACAAATTTGTTTGTAGTCGTATTAGTGTTTTGATAGGAAATTTGTTAAGATCCACTTATAATTCATGATATCATTCTTTCGCTTGTTGTAGCTTAGGATTTGTGTTATTGCTAGAACTTTATGTCCGTCTATGTAATGTTATATTTGATATTGAACTTATTTACTATTGAAATCTAGTATTTGTTGAAATTTTAGTGATTTCTTAAATGGATAGTCTTTTTGTTACTATGGCTCTTGGTCTGTTTACGCCTTCTCACACCGTTATCAGGTATGGTTGGCAATGAAGAAGGCCTAACTCGGTTGAAGCGTAACGATCTATTATGCCACGTAATAGATTTCATTCTTCTACTCTTTTTCGAAAGTTGATTGGCATAAATATATTTGCATTATCAGTTGAGTACATGTTATGTTAATCTTGAAATTTATTCTACTTTTGAGATTTTAAGCTAGAATTACTAGACGCTAGTGCATATAGCATTCCACGTTCACACATGATTTGAAGAAAGGTCACACCCCAATGTGACGTAACATAGTTAGCAACATTTCGCCTATCCTAATTCAAGTATCAATAACTGATTCCACGGCTCGACTCTGTGACCTATAGATCATAACTTATGATTTCACCAAGTTTACACAATCTTCTAATTCTTCAATTTCAAATATCTACAGATGATAACTTGGATGAACCACTTAAAAGTGTTCCGGGAACTGAAACATTTCTCCGGCGACGTGATCTACCGAGCTTTTGCCGCTCCGGCGACTTAACAGATTCATATATCCAGCTCCTCAAAACAGAGGGTCAAGAAAATTCACGAGCTCATGGCTTAATACTCAACACATTCGAAGAATTAGATGAACCCATACTCAATCAATTGCGAACAATTTGCCCAAATCTCTATCCAATTGGACCGCTCCACGCGCATTTAAAGAAGAAACAAACTACATTGCAACCATCATCAAACAGTTTGTGGGCAGAAGACAGAACTTGTATCGATTGGCTAAACGATCAGCTACCGAATTCAGTAATTTACGTTAGTTTTGGGAGTATCGCGACAATGACGAACGATCAATTGATCGAATTTTGGTACGGATTGGTTAACAGTGGGCAGAAATTTTTGTGGGTAATCCGACCGGATTCCATCGCCGGAGAAGAATGGAGATCAAAGATTCCGGTGGATTTAGCGACGGGGACGAAAGAAAGGGGATATATAGTGGAGTGGGCTCCACAAGAAGAAGTATTGGCCCATCCCGCGGTAGGCGGGTTTTGGACTCATTGTGGATGGAATTCGATTCTCGAGAGTGTTTACGAGGGGAAGCCCATGATTTGTTGGCCTTATTTTTATGACCAACAAGTGAATAGTAGATTTGTTGAAAAAGTTTGGGGAATTGGGCTTGACATGAAGGATACATGTGATAGAGAAATTGTTGAGAAAATGGTGAAGGATTTGATGGTATTGAGAAAAGAAGAGTTTCTGGAAAGAGCAAATCATATGTCTAAATTAGCTAAGAATTGTTTGATGGAAGGTGGATCATCTTATTCTAATTTCGATCGTCTCGTGAAGGATATTAAATCTTTAAGTGATAAGGTTTAAGCGTCGTTGAAATGACAGTTCGTTTCTTTTTCAAGGAGATAAAAGTTGTGCAACCCTTTAAGACATATAGAAGTTTCAATCGTTGTTAGAATCACAAGGAGATTTATTATGTTATGTACCTGACTTTCTCATCGAGTGTTGTTTTAGATCTTCTTATTCAAGAAGACACTTTAATCTTGCTTTTGAAATTGGACCTTTTGTTTTTATTTCCGTTGGGTTATACACACATAGTGTGTGTTCTAGAAACAACATATAAAATGATATTTGTATTATATTATCTATATTTATTGAAAGTCATCTAAATATTGAGAAATGAATTAAAAATGATTAGTTAATAATAAAGGTAAGCTAGGTATAAAATAGTGATTTGACTCTTAGATTTATAAAATTAGACAAATAAATATGTATATTTATTTTGTATAGTTGATGGAAGAATTAATCCATATGCTTGTATGCAGAGGCGGAGTGACTACTTTAAGTGTTCATAACTGATTCTAAACTTAATATTTATACATATTTAATTAACACAAAAAATACTGACTACCGCCGAACTCATATATGAGCTTCTAATTCTTCCCCTAATTGATGGTTTACTATATAATGTAGGTGTTGGCCGCTGACTGCTAAATAAAAGTGCAATACTATAGAATATGGTAATTGCTAGTAATATACAAATTATTTTATTTATACTATAGAAGACAGAAAAATGTGACAAATAGTAAATCATAGAAGTTTGAAAACAAACAATTCGTTGTAGTATAGTGGTAAGTATTCCCGCCTGTCACGCGGGTGACCCGGGTTCGATCCCCGGCAACGGCGTAATTATAATTTTTAAAGATACGTCATTTTTTTTGGAAGGGACTAGAATAAATATGACTTTTTAAAATAATAACTATAGTTAAATCACTTTTCAATTTTGGAAGGGACTAGAATAAATATGACTTTAAAATAATAACTATAGTTAAGTCACTTTTCAATTTTGGAACGGACTAGAATAAATATGACTTTTTAAAATAATAGCTATAGTTAAATCACTTTTCAATTTTGGAACGGACTAGAATAAATATGACTTTTTAAAATAATAACTATAGTTAAATCACTTTTCAATTTTGGAACGGACTAGAATAAATATGACTTTTTAAAATAATAGCTATAGTTAAATCACTTTTCAAACATTTTTGTTCGTGCTAGGGCTTTCAGATTGAATGTCACAATTCTTATTTATATTTTACTTTTTATAAGTACTGTTGAGAAATCTGTATGGTATGCTTGTATACCAATAAGTTATTATGAAGAACCTGAGATCTTTGGCCAAAATTTTTTAGATGCAACGACGTAACTATTATATGCCTACGATACGTGAATATGATGGAATACGATTGTAATGACTTTTCGTTGGTATGCAGTTGGATATCATCTCAAAAATCAAACTTCTTAGAATTATTTACAAAATAATAACCATTATATTCTCCACACATATATATTCCCATATAGAGAAGGGATATTAATTAATTACAACAAGGTGTCTACTAATAAAGTGTTAAAATTAGTGGGACAAACCCATTTACAAAATTGGCTTAAGGTCCTGCCAATTACCATAAAGACAAACCAACAAAATAAAACAAAAAAAAGTTAACTAATTAAGTGTTGAAATGGGCCTTGACTAAAAAGATAATCGGTGCATGCACTAAACTTCTGCTATGCGCTGAGTTCGAAAAAAGGTTGAACCACTTTGCATAGGGAAAAAAGCAAGGCCTCAATAGTATAATGATCCTGTGGGACAAAAAAATAAATATATAGTTGAGTTTTTTTATGACATTGCTAAAAGAAATAATTAATCATAGAAATAATTATTCTTTTCTACAAAATTTAATTTCCATACCTTGCCACCAATTTCCTCTTGAAGCACAATTTGAATTGTTTCCATTTTGATCATCATCTTCTTCTACATTTTTCTTGAACTGATCAAGTCATGAACATAAAAGAAACTATTTAGAAATTGAAAAACAAACAACTACTACACGACAGATTCAAAATTTTCACTGAAGAAGTTCGGAAAAAAAAACATAGTGCTACTACATTAAAAATAATCTTTAGCGGTAATTAATTAACAGTTGCGTTAAATATGTATTTTTAGCAGCAATTAATACTCTTTGTAAATATCTCTAAAGCCTAAAGCTATATTAGATCTAATAACAATTAACTAATACTGGTAAATATTTTATTATTAATATGCATATTTATTACTGCTAAAAATATACTTACAGTTGAGGCAGTAGGTGGATAATAAACGTCTTGGCCACCATAGTATATTGATGAACTTAAATGGCATGGTTCTGTTGTTCCATTCTGATACAATATGGAATTATTCTTCTCATTATTACCTGTCATGACATTAATGAACAACAATTAAGAGAGAGATTTGTAACTTAAGCAAGCATATATATGTCTACGGGATTATGGTGGAGTAGTAAGTACTTCATTTTTAGTCAGAGATGTCGTGATCGAGCCTTGAAAATAGAATCGTTTTTGTCAAGGAGCACTTTTCTCTGAGATGGGCATTCAGATTTTATTGGACCCCAATACATACATCAGGTGAAAAATCATAATTAAAGGCATGTGCTTCCCTCTCGTTCCATTTTATGTGATGTTATTTTCTAATTATTAGTCGGTTATAAAAAGAGGAAGAATGATAGTACCTTTTTATATTTCATTTTCTTATCTTATGATTTATTTGAGCTGTGTGTATTGGAAATAACTTTTCTATTTTCACGAGATAGGGGGATGACTGCATGCACACCATCCTCTCTACACCTCACTTGTGGAATTACACTAAATTTGTTGTTATATCCTTAATGACATATTTTTATAATTTCATAAATTGTTTTTGACCACACGTTCAATTCTTATTTTTATTTTCTTAAATTTTATGTCAAAGTGGTTATTAAAAAAGTGAAAAAATATAGGAGAAATTAACCTGAAGTTCCATATTTTGCATTTCCACATGACTGGTTTTTTGGATCTTGGATTCTTGATGAACCTCTAGCTACAGAGTGAGTGGAATCCCTTCCAAGTCCCTAAAATAATATATATAAAATAGAAAAAAAAAATTAGATAAAAAATATGATCATTTTTACAATTTTTCAAGTTATCATATCAGACTTGATACGAAAAGTTACCTTAATGTTTTTCTAAATAAAATTAAAAAGGTCAATATACTTTTCGTTTATAGAAAGGAATATCTATAGATGCAATGATGCATGCAGGATGGAGTAGGAGAAGTTGTACTTGTAATCTTTTGTTTAAGATATTTGGCATCATTTATCGTACGGGGTTAAACTAATTAATGTTAGATATAAATTCAAAAATAAAATTTTCAAATTCTTTTTTAAAAATAAATAGAATCGACGGTCAAAAACAGACTTGAATTAACTATCTTTTTTTTTCTTCGCGAGTTTCATGTCCTCAATATGCAGTTATTCCTTTTTCCTTACCTAAACTATCACCACATACATATTAAAAGCATAGTAATTGATGATAATAAATCAAATAAAAAAAATGAACAACTAATAGTTAATAATTCTTTTAAGTGTGGCTTTAACCATCTTTTGATAAGCCCAAATAGTAACTAAGACGAATAAATTAAAATGAAACGGATAATACCGTAGATTGTGGGCCAAAAATGGAACCAAAGAGCGACGTTTTCGAGGGCTCTTTCGGACCAAACAAATCATTTGTAAAGGACGAAGCAGAAGCAGAAGCCGAAGCCGAAGAACCAAACACTTGCTTTCCCTTCTCCATGTATGTTAAAAAAATCACCGAATTAAACGAGGAAATAAGATCTCTTGCCCGCTGTCTCTCTCAAAACTAACTAACTAACTACCTTTGGAGGTTTGGTTGAGTAGCAAACATATATAATGGCCTAACTGATAAATTACACAGTTTCCAAGAAAACAGAAATGGGATAAGGACTTTAATGTTTTTTCAGATAATTCAGCAAAATTATAGTAGTTGGGGAGATGTGAGAAGAAAAAGAGAGCACGTGAAGTTTTCAGTGTAGAATACAAAGAATGGTGAGACTCTAATTTATAGAGGCCACCCAAAGACAAAAAGAATGGGGACTATTTGACCATTTATGCCTACACTATTTTTATTGGGAAAAAAATTACGTAATTAGATATATTTCACTAAAAGATATATGTATTTTTACTATTAGGTACATAAAGATAGGGAGAGAGGTGATTGGCGAGCAAGATTCGTATATATCACAGAACATGCGAATCACACTAGATAGATATTGGATACATGTATCTATATGTATTTGGAGTGATTTGCATTGGGATATCAGATATATAGGAGATTAGTGAGTGAGATAAGAGAGAGACGAGTGAGATTTGCTATGTATCCCAAATACATGTGAATCCATTTGGATAAATATATCTACAATAAATTATACCTAATTTTGACTTCATATATTCAAGATACATGTATTTGGACATATCTAAAGGTAAAAAAACTATATACTTGAGTTGATTTTTACGTGTATACATCGAAAATGTTATGCTAGACAATGAACTAGTTGCTTAGTTGTTGTATTCAGGTTTGGTTTCTCATATGATCACTCAATTATTTAGTTATTATCTCATAAATTATTGTTTTTTTCTTAATTTCAATTTTTTTTCAACAATTCTTTTTCCGGTTTTTCCATAATAATAAGTAATACTTAATTGAGTGACGAACCTTAGGCAAAAATGTCAGCCAGTTATAATTGCGCAATACACTAGATAATCCAATGAATCCTAATATGATAAATCAAAATTCAACTAATTCAAATTTTCATGAAGTGAACTTACCAAGAGTGTTTTCTCTCCGATTCAAAATCTCCGATTAAAAATAAAATTAGAATCATACTATATATATCACACATTTCCATGACCCTTCCCTACAATTTTCATTCAACCACTATAATCCTTTTTAAAGGTCAACTGTTGTGTCATCAATATAGTTTGTGCTATGGACCATTTTATTTTTCTTATTCCCTACTCCATAATTTTAATATTATTTAATTAATTGAAGATCAAATATAGCTGACAAGTGGATGAACATGTTGTTGCCACTTGTAATTACGTGTCATTTCTAAGGTGTAGGGGTTACAAGTATCAGTTTTATTTAATATTTATATTGAGAGTTCGATTAATTTAAATGTGTTTCGTGAAACTTTTGAGGGAAAAAACTTTTAACATAATTTTTTTTTTCATATTTAGAATCCAAACTTGAGATTCATGATTTAAAATAGAAGAATTTTATCTATCTTACTATTACTATCATAATCACCAATATTCAATGTAATCTTAAAGTGAGGTATGAAGAAGTCAACATGTACAAAAAAATAATAGAAAAATTATTTTCGATAGATCCTCGATAATAATAAAAATATATAGTAATAAAAGTACAAAAATTAATAGATAATAATAAAAATAACAAATAATAAAAGAATGGTACCACAACAAAATAATACTACAACCTCTTATAAAATGAACGAGCACACACTCTCACCACAATCTTTATACTATCAATTTGTAATTTAATTTTCACGAGAAAGTTATTATTTTTATTATGTTGCTACATTTTGATCTATCAAACATGAAGGAAAAAAAGAATAACTTTTTCGAATATTTTCCTTTTTACAAAATTTGAAGCAGATAAATTAATATTTCACGTTAAAAATAGTGAATTAAGATGGAATTAATGCTGCATCAACCTCTCAAGAATTTTTTGATTTTGTTGAGAAGGACAGAACAGCCCACACGTGATCCAAATGTCAAAACTTTATTTCATTTCAATGTATAATTCTCCTTTAATTTGGAGAATTATTCCTTTAAAGGGAATAATATATAGCAAGATTTAAATAGGAAAATATATTTCCAAATAGTTGATCTCTAGTATAGTCTAGTCCAATCCAGAAGCAATTCCTCTTTATTAATGTACTGAATATTTTAATTATTAAAAAATATTTTTTAGAATAATAAATAAATTTCTCGTTTATTGTTTTTGAATTTGGTATGTAATTAAGTTAAATATCATTTTAAAAATATTTGTATATAATTTATGGAACAACCATTTTTAAATATTGAACAACTATTTTTTGAAAAAATAATCAACTAATATGAGACGGAGAAGAAACTTTAGGGTAGATGCTAGAAACTTCACGTCTAGTTTTTAATCAATCATTTTTTTTTTAACTATTAATGTTGATTAATTAATACATTATTATATTATGTCTTTTTAGTGAAGGAATTGCGATTTATTATACTAAAGACTTTCAATGAATTATTAAAGCTATTGAGAGTACCAATTAATCTCAATTATTCCTATTAATTTAAATTGTTGAATAGATGGAATACAAAAGAAAAAAGATTAAAATCTTAAAGTTGGTAATAATTTTTTCCCCACTCAATGTCTGATATTTGAATAAGAGTCTAATTATATTTAAACTCTTGCCACATAGGGCCTTATTTGGAAAAGTGATTAAGAAAGATTCAATCTTATTCACTGAAACCGCATCTTTTAGTGTTAAGTTGGCAAGACTTGGAGAACTAAGAGTGTGGCTATGTCATCATTGGTACATTTCATTTTAGGTAAAATATTATAGTACTATATAAAGATAAGGTTAGTGGGGTTAACAATAATTAATGGTTACTAAAATAGTTAAAGCATTAAGATTATTATGACTATACTAATCAAGCAAAAATTAATGGATGGTGTTCTTCCCATTCTTATGATTATCCATTTGACATATCCTTTAGGATAACTAAATACTGAAAGAAATCAAAAGTACTAAGAATCGTAAAAATTCTTTACTTTTTTGTCAGATTTTATTCTTTAAAATTTTGAAAAAATGAGAGTTTGGCGATCATGAAATTTTCAAATCTAACTTGAAATTTGAAAAATAACTTATATCATATTTTTCAATTCACTTGTTATTTTTGAAATTGTAGTTAACGCTATTTAAGCATAAATATTATTTCAAATATTCTTTGTAAAAATATAATCAAACAAAATTCTATCTTTAACTGTAACTTTATTTTTATTTTTAAAAATCTATGATCGAACACCTATTAAATATTTTGTGGAAACATTACTTTTTGGGTACCAATAACATTTTAATTTCCCTAGGTTATTATTGGTTTTATATATATGATAACAAAAGGAAATGTAATGATCACAAGGAGAATAATAAGAGGTCCATTAATTATTTAGCATATCCAACCAAGATTTTGATATACATTATCTTTAAAAATATCATTCTTTAATATGATCCTCATCTACTCACCAAAAAATTGTGTCAAAGGTACTGTATTTGCATTAAAAAGAAAAAGAAATGCAAAAAAGAAGAGGGAAATATGGTCCTATATATATGAACATATAATTCTCTGTAGTTATGTTTTGCCCCTTTTTCATATAATAGTGATATTCAAATCACCTAAAATTTTTAGGTATATGTTACTTTCCATCAGTATTGGTATCGGTTGGTGTACCACATCGATCGAGTATGGAGTTATTTTTCATTTTATATTATTTGAGAAATTTTTAATTTCTGAATTGTCCGTTGGACTTGAGTTAGGCCTAATATTCATTTTTTTATCACAGAATATTGAGCTAAACTCAAGTCCAGCAGCCAATTCAATGATTTCAACTTGTCCAAGCCATATTAAAGAATTCAGAGATCTCATCCCTCGTCGATGTGGGATATCATCTTCAATACCAGTTAACAAAATATTAATTTGATCGTTTAGAAAATATTTCATCCAATATTATTTCCGTATTCAACATATTAGTAACACATGTTATTCACTTATCTCTTTAAGTAGATTAAGAGAGAACTAGTTTTTTGTTTTCAATTTGATCTTTCAAAAGCATCTAATGGATTAAATTAATCTTACAAGGATAATTCAACAAAGCACCAAAATTAGTTAATATTATAATGCAAACACTTTTTTTATATATACTTTTAGATAGATTCTATAAAAAGAAAAGTAACGTTAAGGAAGATCTATATATACTATCCCATATGATATAAATATATTTTGGTTAATAGTGTAATTAATTTTTATTGTAATCCAAAGGAAACAACCTTGAAGTTGATGGGAAGAATGTTTTTTATTTTATTCGAAATTCAGTATTAACGATAGAAATTTAAAATTCAACTTAAAGTTATATTTTAAATTTGAAAAATATCTTATAACATGTTTTCTAGTTTATCGATGGCTTTTGAAGTTGTATATTTAAGCTTGAATATTATGTCATATATTTGTTGCAAACGTATAATTAAACAAAACCTTATCTTCAAATGTTACTTCATAAACTTTTGAAAAAGTTAAAAATATCTAAATTATATGACCAAATATGCCTACTAGATAATGTATTACATTGTGTGTGGGTGTGGGGGGGGACGATACATTATCCTATTATGAACATATAATTTTTCGTAGTTATGTTTTTTTTCCTTATAATAGTTGTACCTAAATTAAATTGCACGCATCAAAATTATTCTACCAATATAAGTAACTCTCCATAAATACATATATTTCAAAAAAATTATTCAACAAAAATTAAACAAATAAGAAGAAATCATCTAAAGATTTTATTTATTTTTTATCCTACTATAGGTATACATTACTTTCAATTAGTATCGATTGGTGTACCACATCAATGGGGTATGGAGTTATTTTTCTTTTTATATTGTTTGAAAATTTCTCGCCTATAGAACTAGTCACTTGACTTAAATTAGGCCCAAAATTTATTTTTTATCATGGTATTTGCTAAATGAATCTTGGACTAAATTCAAGTCTAGCGACCAATTAAATGGGTGAATATTGTCAAAGTTATATTAAAGTGGTTAGAGATCTCACTTCTTGTCGATGTGGTATATCATTTTCATAAATATTTCATCCGATATTTTTAACTTGTTCCATTTATTAATAACACGTGTTATTTTCTTGTCTATTTTAGTATTTTATTTCTTCAATTTAACCTTTTATC